TTATTTATTTTATTTTATTTTATTTTATTTTATTTTATTTTATTTTATTTTATTCTATTTTATTTTGTTTTATTTTATTTTTTGTTTCATTTTATTTTATTTGATTGAAATGATTTGATTTTATTTTGTTTCATTAATTTAATTTAGTTAAATTTAATTTTAAGTTTTTGTTTTTAAATTATTTTTTTTTAAATTTATTATATACCTATTATTTATTATATACCATAGATATTCCAATGGAATTTCATGTCTTATCGCAGCCAGCAAAGCGTTGCTGTTTGATCACTCACATTTTCTTAAGATTTCTTCCGACAATCCAGCTAGGGGCTTCGGGGTCGCGCTTTCTTATCAGTTATAACCACTACTATACTATTTCTTTGGAAATTTTCATCCTACTTTCATATTCATAAATGTATGCATACATACATATGTGTGTATGCTGTTGTGTAAACAAAACATTCATTGTTTCTAGTTGATGGTTCGATTTTATTACCTTTTCATCATTAAATGCAGTCGGTTCGTCTATTCGCGGTTCTTTTATGTGCATATGGGTAGTAAAATTGTAAGATCACTGTGGGTAGAACTTCGATTTAAAGCTGTAAGTGAATAAAAATACTTGTTTCGCAACTAGGTCAAATCTATATTTTTGTTAATACTTCAGCTACTGATTTCAGCATTTAATTCTGTCAATAAGTTGCCCTTTATTTCTAATTTGACTCACGCCATTCTTAGATCGCAAACTGAAAGAACGCATACGATTACAAGCCCTAGGTATGACATTTTCTATACACAGAGTGTGACAAGTTAGTTTTTAACCTAATTTTAACAAATGGATTTGATTGTCAAATGGTTGAAGTTGCTTGGAACAGACATCAAAGCGCTTTGAGTCATACCAATGGAGCTAGGAATATGTGCACACTTTAAAGAAAAATTTGGTGCAAATATGTAGGGTTCATATAAGCCTGCTTCTGCTAGGAGTTCCACTCTCTCTAAGTTTTCCTCATCTCTAGAGCCATGATAAAATTACATGCGTGATAAAACGAGCTCCAACCTAGTACCTTGTCGATGAAATTCGATTTAGCCTACTCTTACAAGAGGATATGCGGATATCTTCAATATGGCCAACGTTTACTAAAATTAATTCGACTTTTTTCTTGATTGTGTGTCTACGTCTCAATTTATCTGAAAAGTTAGCTCATTAAAAATCATCTTGACGTCAGAAGTTTCTTCAAACTTACAAAGTGCATAGGATCGATTTTCATCTCTAGAGGATTCAGGCAGTAAATTTTCTTGCAATAATAGCTCACCAGCTCTATCAAATAAATGTAAGTAAGCTTCAACTCGGCATGGATCTTCATTGATTTCCAGGTTTTATTTTTGTGTCTATGAATTTTAATGCTCCCACCTCCTAGGATTTGTTCTATACCAAAGAAGATATGTTTTGTTTTATTTTCAAATCAAAAATCGCCCAAAGCGCTCAAAGTTTTCCGTGTATTTTATATGGGGAAAAACAATTTTTCATAGAAGAAGTATAGAATTTTTGAAAATCAATATTTTTCGATCTGAAAACCCTGTTTCTTTTCAGGAGACTTCCAATAAGATAACCATTTTTTTATTCAACCAGTTTTTAATAGCAACTATTTTTTATAGGTTCCCCAAAAGCCCCAAAAATGCAAAGGGGGGACCCATAAAAAATATTTATTATTAAAAAATGGTAAAATCTACAATTGGATATTATTATTGGAGGCCTATTGAAGAGAAAAGGAGTTTTCAAATCGAAAAATATTGATTTTCAAGAATTATATACATACTATTTCTATAAAAAAATGTTTTTCCCCCATATAAAATACCAGGGACCGAGAACAAAAGTTATGATTGAAACTAAATGTCGTTCTCGTAGTTTTGTTCCCAAGAACGCTTGAAAGCCCAAACCGAAATGAGAACAAAACCTTTGGGGGTGTTTTCACAAGAAGGAAAGTGAAAACAAAACTGTCGAGAAAGAATAATATCCTGTGATTCGTTCCCAAAGATAACAAAATTAAAAACCACATTTTCGGAAATATTTCTAGGAGAACAAAATGGAAACGACATCTATGGGACTTTCTCTCGACGAACAGTTTGGAAACTAAAGTCTATGAAACTTCCTGACAGAGAACGAAACGGGAACAAATCTTTTCTGAACTATTCGCGAATAATGGAAGCGAGAACAAAATTTTTCTCATAGCGTTCAATTAGTTTGAAATGTTTGAATATTAAAATTAATCAAAAGGAGCTGAAAAGTAATTATGCAAATGAAGTCAACAAAAGACTTAAGACAAGAACTTTTCTTTTCTCATTTTTAACATTAAGTTCTATAAACTTTTGTTCTCGTTTTGTTTGCTAGCAGAACGTGCCACAGACTTTTGTTCTTATTTGATCCTCCTTGAAAGCCTTCTCGATACTTTCGTTCTTATTTCGTTTTCATTGGAAACGTACCCGAAAGATTCGTGCTCATTATGTTCTTCTTGAGAACGTTTCCGAGAGTTTATTTCACATTTTGTTCTTTACGGAAACGTTCCCGAGCCTTTGTTCTCATTTTTTTCCCGTTCAAACTGCTCTCAATACCTTTGGTCCCGTTTGGTTCTGTTGTGGGAACGTTCTTCATATAACATTTTGCTCCCATGCAGAACTAAACTAAAACCGAAACGCGTTCTCGGTCACTACAAAATATATGAACAACTTTGAGCGACCTCTAAATGGCTACTTTATTTCTTCGCACAAAAGAATTTAGAGAAATGTTCTCTAAAGATCCTTATGATCCCTAATATTAAAGACTTTATAAGGATATAAAATACCTTTTTTTTAGCAAGCTAAGCCGCTACTCAGTAGTTTCTGTTTACCATTAACACAATTCTTTTTGCTTTATGGGTATGTTATATTGCACAGTCTTCTTCCTCCCAACCACTTGTCACCTTAACGTACTTTTCTGTTGGTTTCGGTGGCAATGTACTATTTATCTGCCTTTATACGAGTATAACACCATTCACCCTTTGAGTCTTCCCGCCTAACATTTGCATTTGTTGCTATCTGCATTTATCTACCTTTGCGGTTAATATTCTCGCTTTGCTTTGAACTTCAGTTAATCATGAAATAATTAGGCGCACATGCAAACACCCGCAAAGCATCCGAGTCGCGCCTCATTGCAAACGAGACGTACTGGTACATAGAGGTGACATACATATTTATGTATGTACATATCCGATATGTTTAGCCTCGTTAAACCGTTGTTGAATGCACCGGCGATTCCCTCTTTACCACAAAGCTTAGTCACAGGCAGCTCCAGCAACTTACTCGTAATTTTTGCCTTGTGTCGCATTGTGTGCGACCCTCTCGTGTCACAACACTCCCATTTGCCTTGTATTATTCTTTTGACTTATGTATGTATGTATATTAGACATTACCCCCTTACAAGAAAACAAAAAAAAAGTTCTGTGAAGAGTTACTCTTGGATATTTAGCTTAGGTTACTGGATTTTTGTAGCGTGTGCCATTAAAGAAACAGCCGATTAGTTGGGAACTTGTGTAATACCGCTTAGAGAGGGTAAATATCTACTTTGACAGCGAAGCAGCGATCAGAGACTTCGGATCGCTGATGGTAAGATCAAAACTAGTCTGGTACTGCATGATCTCCCTCTTTCTATTGCCTCGGATCACTTCAAAATCAGTATGTTTTTTGGGTTCCTGGGCACAGCGACATTCAGGAAACTGCTGTGCCGAACTTAGAAGTCATCACCAACGTACGGAACGCTGGGCGGAAACATCGACATGCCAAGTTGCATGGTCCTTTTGGGCGGTTGTTGATCGTGGACGGTCTAGGAAACTTCTCCAGCTTACTAAGCGACAACTCTCGGTTTTCGTGGGGGCTCTGACAGGGCACTGCCCAATGGGAATTCATGCCGTACTTCTTAATATTGCTATGAACCCGATGTGCCGCAGTTGTCTAGAGCACTACCTTCTCAGCTGCTCTGCCTTTGTGATGCTCGGATTTAAACATTTTGGGTCATATTTCGTAATTGCTCCAGACGAACTCTCAAGAGTGGACAATAATTTTGTGTCCTTGAAACAAGAACATCGATGTATCATACTTAAAGAACCGACTTTAGGTGCCGAAGTTACGCAAAAAGTTGTAAAAAGGCGACCGCTAGGTTTAGAAAACAAATTTGTTTTCGAAATTCCGTTGCAAAAATACATATGCCCATTAGGGTGCATCACTCTCCAAACAAAAAAAAAAAAACGGTACTATTTATTATAAATAAAATTAGTTTTGAAAGATAATTGTTCTAAAAAATCGCCTCAGATGATAAAAAGTTTAAGCTTAAAAGGTCTGCATAAAAATGTTTAAAAGTTTCATGAGAT